TGGCTGTATATATTGACGCTATACAGAACGATCATGGGATAGTCGATTACACTCGGGCTACGGTCGAGCCAGAGCGAGTCGTTTTGGAAATCACAACGGTCGTCCACTGGAGCAGGTAGTCAACCTCCATAGATTACGCTGGTTGGGACATGTGCAATGCATGTCACTATATAGGTTGCCACGGCGAGCGATGTTCGTTGAGGCAGATAGTGGGTGGAATAAAGCCAAGGGTGGTCAGGCCAAGACCTAACATGAGGGTATGAAAACCCTGACCAGGAGGCTGGCTCACATGGGTCTCGTTAGACTCCCTGCCGGGGAACCCCGTGATCATGTTCACCGATGGTCAGAGACATTGAGCGATATGGCTGGGTGTCGCAAACACTGGCGCTCATGCATCTACCCATTATTCTTGTAACTTCAGTCTATGTAAATGCGTTATCTTCCTCTTGAATCTGCTCTCAACATTCTAATCATCACTGCTGTTTTATCCAAATGGGCCTGGTAGACAACTCATCACTTGAAGAGGTGTCATTTCGGAGTAGAAATAGTTTTATTCGGTCCTTCACCCCGCACAAAAGCGGAAGATTTCCGATTTTAGACTAGAACAGGTAGCTCAACACCAGTGTCTGGTAAACCGGTTCACTGATTTCGTGCAGTGGCCTGGCTTGTTCCATGTAAAGAAGATACTTAAACAATTGAAACGAAAAGTCGAATTCTATTGGTTGACAACCCAACAAAATAGCGCGATATTTCCCTTTCTGTCTCCTTGTGAATATATATATATATATATATGTATTTGAGAAGGAGAGGGTGAGCACTGCGTGATAGTATTGTGACGTTTCGATCCAGACTAGGACTTGTTGTCAAACGATATTGTGTGAATGAATTGGGTCTGCTTGCGCCTCGCCCTGTGGTTTGTGTCGCGCCTGTTTGTCCATCAATCCCGCATTCCTCATTGGTTGTACAATCGTTGCGTAATGTTCTTCGATTTCTATGTATCGATTTAATGAATTAGTCGAAGCACTTCTTCAAGAATCAGATGTTCACCCTTCTTCGTTGCCTTTGCCACTAATTTTGCGTCGTTGATTCTAAATTCATGACCTGTTACTGCGCNTGCGCAGTGGTTCTAGAGGTGTGACTTCAGGGCAGCGTATCGTAGTGTGTGTTCGTTTAAGCGAGTGCTCAGTTGTTTGCCTGTTTCTCCAACGTAAGGTTGGTCACATTCTCTGCACGGAATTTCGTACACCACCCCTGATTGGTCGTGTGGTCCTTGCCGTTGAACAAAATTGATCACAGTGTTGCAGGTTTATGGACAGTGGTAACACCTAAAGGGCGAAGGATACGATCGACGGCTTCTGATACCCCATGAATGTATGGTAATAAGAGTTTCGTTTTCTTCTCTTCATCCTTCGGTTTTCTTTTCTCCCCTAAGGTATGATTGAACGAAACTTTTGGGGTATCCATTTGTACGGAATTGATGAAACAGATGCATTTATTCTTGATGCCGCAGTTCTTCTGTGCTACATTGCGTCCGCACGGCGGAATAAAGTGTACACAGCTTCTTAGGTGACATGTGGGATGGTTACTGTCGTAGTTCAGCATCTGATCGGTTGTCGGCTTCCTGTACACAGTGGTTTCTGTGTTTCCGTCTGGTTTTCGAATGACGGGGACGTCTAAGAAAGAGAGCTTCATATCGTTTTCCTCCTGGCGGGTAAATGCTATTCCTTGCGTAACCACGTCAAGGTGCAGCCTCCTCGTGATATATTCAGCCCCGCCATTCACGGCTTATAGCCATGTGGTCGATCTGCGTTTGTCACTAACTTGAGGAGGATGGACGCCATGTGACGTACCGGAAGTTGGATTGTATGAAGCTGTTACTGGTGAGGAATAGGCTGTTGTCAAAAAGCGGCCTTCGATTCAGTCGACCGTTCTAAACTCTAGCGCTGCTTTTCACTGAAGGGTGTGTCTGAGAAGTTTATTTCGATTTTACGATCCTTTGATACTAATAGCTGAAACCGAGTCCGAGCTTTCGGCACCTTTTCGCCCGAGTTCACCACGGAAAGTGGTGTTCGTCAGGGTTGCCCTCTCTCTCTCCTTTACTGTTTAACTTCGGTACATGTGTAATTCCTGAAACAATCCTATCCTGATGCCAGGATAGCGGTATGGATTTGCTTTCAGGAGTTAGACGATCTGATCTAGGGTATGTAGACGAAGTTATGCTGCTAAGTGAAGGTCCAGGTAAGTTGCAATCCTTCCTGGATAGTTTGAGTGCTAGTAAGTCATGTTCAGTATGCGTTTTGCACCCTCAAAGTGTAAAATGTTACTTAAAGACTGGGTTGGTCCAGCACCCAGCCTCACTCTAACCGGTGAAGTAATAGAGCAAGTGGATAAGTTTTGTTATTTGGGCAGCTACATCTCATCCGGTGGACGCATCACGGATGAAGTGTCAGCCCGCATACAGAAGGCTCGGTTGGCATTTGCGAACTTGAGACATTTGTGGCGCTGTCGCGATATTCGGCTGTTTATGATTGGTTGAGTGTATGATGCAGCCTCCAAAAGCCCTAGTATGTTTGGGGTAATGCCTGAGGTTGCAGCTGGTCACCCCTCTGTTGTGTTTATCCAAACTGTCCCAGAACGTGGTCTCCAAAATGCGTATCCCAACCATCCCAGTTAAAAGCCTGTTGCAAGCAGTGCGAGCCTTCACTGGTAGCGCCAGCGAAAACGTGGTCGAGTGAAAAAGAAAATGTGTGGTATTTTTTGGTTAGATCATTGTCTAGACATTTGTCCGCAATGGGGCTTGCGTGAGCAGCGGTGTAGGAAATACCACAACTCAGATCACCCTACTCTGTCCGTTACTCTGACACCCACGTATCCGGTATCATCGAGAAAACGCGTACTTATTTACACGGTGACTACTGGTCTCAATCCATTTCAGATGCATACCTTGAGGATTCTCTGGGAAAGGTTAGGCATCCCCTAACACCCTGCCTTGCACCCCGTGAAATGCTCCCATATGACCAAACGCCCGAAGTAGCCTCCGTTGAGGAAGCTATACTCACTACATTCTCGTGGCGGAGGTGTTTTCCCACCAAAGTGAACTGACGAAAAGCCAATATCCGGGGCTATAACCGCGTTGGTGAACCCTTACAATTCACCTAGGGAAATTGGGTAAAAACTCTGATTCCAAACCAACCAAGAAGAGGTGTACAAGCTATACACACCTGGTTTTGGTAGTGGTCACCGGCTCGATGGGGTATCGAGGTGTATTGGGCACCTTGGACATTTGACCCCGTCCAAAGGGTGCATGATTCGATGGACTGGATACCGGTCCCCAGTGAATTGCGGTTGTCACATACCGCCCCGTTGCCCTACGAGTCTGGCTTTGGCCGGATGAAGGCACCGGTTGGGAATTCCTCAAGTAGAATCACCTGTCTTGAGCGGGGTAACCTGTCAGTATTCCGCACACGAACAAATCATGGAACTTTTTCTTTTTTCATGAAGAATATTGTACTGTGATTTGTTTGGCACACAGTCTGAATGCAGACGTATGTGAAATACATACACAATACAGTGTATATTGCAGCAGTTCGGTCAGTTCGGTTGTACGGCGCAGAGACTTGGTCATTAAGCAAGCAGGATAAGGGAAGACTGTCGATGTTTGAATAACGCTGTCTACGACGCATTGCACAAGTCTGGTGAGGAAACCAGATACGTGATGCTGAGGTTAGGCGCAGAGTTTTAGATAACCGCGGTCGCTCACTGGAGCAAGTGGTCAACCCCCATGGATTACGTTGGTTTGGGTGTTACGCATGTCATCATATAGGTTGTCTCTGTGTGCGATGTTTGCCGAAGCAGGTGGTGGATGGAAAGAAGCCAAGGGAGGTTAAAACAAGACCCGGCACGAGGGTATGAAAACGCTAACCAGGACACTGGGTCATATAGGTCGCTTTAGGTACCATGGTCATCGGCGGTTAGAGACGCCGGGTGGCACTCATGCGTCTACTCATTATGCTTGCAACCTCAGTCCATATGAATACCCTATCTTCCGCTTGAATTTGCTCTCAATCTTCATTCTGCTGTTTTATCAACGTGGGCGGCCAAAAGACAGCAACCAAAACCGGTGCACGATGTTGCATGGCTAATGGTTGTAATAACTGCGAAACTGAAACAATTTCCCTGGAAGCACACGACCGGTTTTGCGGTTAATGCCTCTCGTCAGGCATGTATATCCGATAATCTTTAGTCAGTTCATGCTTATACCTGTATATGCATCGTTGGCTAAGAATACTGGTAAAAATTCTTCGTGGAACCATCAGAACTACGTTTAAGTAAAAGAGGTATTTGTTAATGCTTCCTCTTCCAGTTGAAGGTGTTTTTTTTACTTTCATCATATTCCATTTCGAGTTTCAACCGAGTTTTTTTCGGAATCATGTTAACCCACAGAAGTCGCACCAATTCAACCATGGCTTATTTACGCTTCCAGATGGAAGTTAAGATTAGTTCAAACGGTAGAGACCTTTTTACGTCTTTCGTCCCTTGTACCTTACTCTGATATAGTCTCTTTAAGGTTTACTATTTCATACTCCGCAGATCGTCGTTGTTCGTCATCTATCTCGTTTGTTGGTGTTGGCGTGAAAGTAACTAATTGTGTTCGTTATTTTTGATTGTTCTGCAGGTTACATTTACAAAGTTGCTATCCTGATGAACAACTCAAAAATGATATGTGAAGAATTGCCACCGCAACTCAATGCTGATAACAGGTTTGTTGACCCTTCGATATTCAGAAGCCTTTGAACATGGTAGTGCCTTTGCCCTGCGGACACTCCGAGAGAGATGGGCGGTTATTGTTGCCCAACTCATAGACTCACTTTATCGAAATCGAGTGTTTTTTAGCGAAACACTTGGTGTAAGTAACACTGAATTATTCATGTATCAGTTTAGATACCTGCTGAAACCTTGAAAAGCCTAACTGGCGCTATTGGTCAACTGCGTTATGAATTCACGACAAATAAACCTCTCACACTTCTTCACACAGACCTTATAAATCAAGAGGANCTTGATACATGGAACCGCAACCTTGAAGCAGTCGGTGTTCGACTAAAACAATGCGACAATCTGAAAGAATTTTCCGATCAGCCATCATGGTACAAATTACCCTGGCTTCTTACGGAATGTTATCTTTACCGCCGGATAATGGATTGTGTAGCACTCACGTATGTCAGGATTTTTCTAATGGACCGAAAAATGTAGGGGTCTTGTAACTTTTGATCCTTTTGCTCTCAAGAAGCAAGATGGCTTGCAAAAGTCACAATCCTTGGTTCTTACCCTTTTGAATGCTTTGGAAGACCTGCCTTCCGATCCCCGGGAGGCGCGGACGGAATCTCTTTTCGAAACGTTTGTCCATGTGAGTTATGAAGTATGCGCACAGTGTCTTTACTTGCTGGTTATTAATGTTTATTCATGTCCGCTTATCTACTGGTGAGTCCTATATTGACCATTGGCGATTCTATAGGCGCACTTAAACCCAGTCGATTGATCTTGTAATGCTGATGTGTCTGTCCCTCTGTTTTCACAATGGGGACGTTGACCTTGTAGATCGTATTGCTGATTTAATGAGTGACATCTGGTCACACGAGCGCATTCCATCATCCTGGAGCAAATCACTGATCGTTCCAATTTTTAAGAAGGGATCTCGCGATGACTGCGCAAACAACCGTGGAATAAGTTCGATCCCAATCGTTACCAAGTCAATAGTCTCCATCATAGCGAGACCAATGTGCACTACAAGCAGGATTTCGACCAGGTCGCCGTTGTATCGACCAAGGTTTCATTGTGTCAGGTGCTCGAACTACGCCATACGTACCGTCGACCAACGCTTGTCGTATTCTTTTACATAAAAGGAGCCTTCGATTCAGTTGCTCGTAAATAACTAATGGGTTCACTCCTTGGCAAAGAAATGTGCAGATGTACGTGAACAAACTCAGTTTCAGTTTCAGTTTGACCATGCGCCAGTTTGGGTTGCTTTCCTTTGGCTGCCCATTTGGATGAACATTAGGAGAAAGATACGGAAGGTTGAAAGTAGGATCAAAAGTAAATTTAAAATTTCGGTGGATTAATGTTGAAGAGA